GTAGAATACCCCGTCCAATAAATACTATATAGAATCTCTTTATTTACTTGTCACATACGCGTACATGATCTTTGGTGGATACGAAACCATCTTGTTCGGTCCGATAACTTTTTTGTACGCGTATGTGAGAGGGAGCTTATATATAAATATTTATTGGATCTGTCCAGTTTGGACGGGTTAGGTATGTGAACATGGCGTGTATATGTATTTACTTGTGTTCTTGTGTACTTTCTTTTCATCAAAGTTTCGGCGGCGCTTACTCATTGTTCTCCGTGTACAAATTGCGGAGGGATATGCATGAGTATATCCTTCCCACTATAGTGTACTCGGAGAACAGCGGGTAGGTGCTGCCGAAATTTTGACGAATTGAAAGTACACTTGAACACACGTAAATACATATGCACGTCACGTTTACATACCTAATGGGATAGAAGCCTTCCTCTAACAGCCGGTCACACATGCGGTCCTCTGAACACACGTTTACATCCCTAAATTAAAATGATATATGTCGGGATATGCTCACTTCCATTAATTTTTAAATTATAGATGCGGTGTGTTCCTGACAAATCGTTCATGAGCATACTACGTGATCGAAGACATCTAGACACCCGGTACAAGGATGGGATAGAAGCTTTCTTAGCCTACTCTAACACAAATCCTCTACGGTCGCTAAGCGGGTCGATTTTCTGTCCTTGTAAGAATTGCAGGAACGGTAAAATGCTCGCTAGGAGTGACGTAAGTTTTCATCTGTCAATCAATGGATTTGATAGCTCTTATGTATTTTGGAGTCATCACGGTGAAGGCGTCCCAGTGATGCAATCAGAGGAAGAATTCACTGAAGTCAGCAATCCGACGGTTGACACGACTAATATGTTAGAAGATATTCTTGCAGCGCCGTCGGTGAGTGATGTCAACACTAATGATATATTTCAAGATATAGATCGATTGATGAGACTTGTTGAAGAAAATGAGTCACCGTTATACGAGGGGTGTAAGGAGTTCACAAGGCTTTCTTTTATGCTGATGCTTATTCATATCCAAACACTCAGTGGGATGGCTGTTACACATTTTGAGATGTTATTAGATTTGCTGAGGAAAGTCATTCCAGGCGGCGAGAAAAGCATCCCCGCGACCTATTACGAAGCTCACAAGATTGTTGATACGCTGGGGCTTGATTACAAGAAGATAGACGCCTGTCCTAACGACTGCATCTTGTACAATAAGGGTAATGAAGCTCTGGAGGAATGTCCGATGTGTCATGTATCACGTTGGAAAGGAGAAGTTGCAAGCACATCCGAAGGCGGTGCATCCAATAAGCAAAACAGAATTCCTGTGAAGGTTCTCCGATATTTTCCAATTATTCCTAGGCTGCAGCGGTTTTATATGTCTGCTGAGCTGGCTGAGAATATGCGATGGCATTCGACCGACCGTGACCGTATATACCCCGACTTCGGTAAAGAGTCTCGGAATATTAGGCTGGGGCTTGCTAGCGACGGATTTAATCCGTTTGGATTAATGAGCTCTGCTTGGTCTACCTGGCCAGTGTTGCTGACACCGTACAACATGCCGCCGTCGATGTGCATGAAGCAACCGTACATGATACTGTCACTTTTGATCCCTGGAAGATGTTCTCCTAGAAATGACATCGATGTTTTCCTCCAACCATTAATTGACGACCTGAAGCTTCTCTGGGAAAAAGGTGTCAGCACTTATGATGCTTATGGTAAGGAGTCTTTCTGTAAGCGGGCAATGGTCATGTGGACAATTAATGACTTCCCAGCATACGCTAACCTATCTGGATGGTCGACGAAGGGTCAGATTGCTTGTCCGATTTGCATGTCAGACTATGAGGGAAAGTTCCTAAAGTATAGCCGTAAGTTTTGTTATTGGCAACACAGAAGATGGTTGCCTACAGGGCACAAGTTCAGAAAGTTAGTAGGAAAGTTCGACGGCAATCCAGAAAGTAGACCCGCACCACCAAGGCTGACCGGAGAAGAAATATTTGAGCTTCTACATCCTTTACCTAGAAAAATATTTGGAAAGAAAAGATTCAACAAAGAAAATCCATTTGGTGTTAGGAGAAAAATATTGAAGCAAAAATGGAAGGGAAAGGGAAAATGGAAGGGAAAGGGAAAATCGAAAGGAAATAAGCCTCGCAATGTCCAATCGCATGGGCGTGTCTCAAAAGACACCGAACTTCCGCATGGATGGTCAAAATTCAGCATATTTTATCAGCTGCCATATTGGAGAAGTTTAAAAATACGTCACAACTTGGATGTCATGCACATCGAGAAGAACATATGCGAGAATCTCTTGAACACTTTGTTGCAGGACGGGAAAAAATCGAAAGATGACTTAAGGGCACGTCGAGACCTAGCAGAATTGAACATTCGTCCGGAACTGCAAGCTATAGATAAGGGCGACGGAAAGTTTGAACTCCCAGCCTCCCGTGTCACACTGTCGAAGGATGAGGTCCACAATATGTGTTTATTTCTAAAGTCCGTGAAGACACCGGATGGTTATGCTTCAAACATTTCAGCAAATGTGCATATTGAGGACAGAAAGATTTTGGGACTCAAGACACATGATCATCATATTCTATTACATCAACTTCTCCCGGTTGCGTTGCGACATGCTGACAAGGAACTCGCGATGGTGGTAATAGAATTCTGCGGTTTCTTCAAGCAACTATGCTCTAAGGTGATTGATGTTAGGGAGTTTGAAGAATTAGAGGGACGTGTTGCTAATACACTGTGTAAAATGGAAATACTATTTCCACCATCATTCTTCACGGTCATGGTGCATCTGACAATACATTTAGCATACGAAGCCCGCATCGCAGGACCAGTTCAATATCGCTGGATGTACCCCGTGGAGAGGTATTTATTATTATAATATTCATTTAATATTTGTCAAATTACGTTTCTCAGTTCCATTTTGTCACAAATCATGAAACTATATGCTTGTAGGTATTTGGGTTTCATGAAACAACTGATGCATAATCGTGCACATCCTGAAGGGTCGATCGCAGAGAACTACATAAGTAACGAGAGTTTGAATTTTATCTCTCGTTACTTGCGGGGCGTAGAGACAAGGCTGAACCGTCCCCAACGAATAATTGACGGTACATTCTACAATGATCGTGGGGAGGACACTAGATTCCCCAGAATGGAGCTAGATCAAGCCCATACATATATCCTGAGCAATGGTACTACATTTAACATATACGCGACGTAAGTATTTAACTGTTTGAATCAGATTATATCACCTCACAATAATTATCTCTATTTAACCGTTATAAATGCTTCTTGTCTAGGCTTCACATCCGACATGTTCAGTCGACTAATCTTAAATGCAGAACAAAAATAAAAGAGTTATGGACACACACTCTAGACAATTCCCTGCATGGCTGAAGGGTGAAGTAAGATCATTTTACATTTCTGATTCGTACCACAAATATATGTGCCTGCCAACAGATATGTAAACTATTTGCTTCTTTTCTTAAAGGTTGACAAACGGATTACGAATGGGATTAACCTGTCTGAGAAAGTTTGTTTATATGCCAGAGGTCCTTCTAATGTGGTTAAGCATTATGGAGGCTACTGTGTCAACGGCTTTAGGTTTAACATCGTCGGCCTCGAAGAGAGACGACAAACGCAAAACAACGGTGTGTTCTGCTCCTTCTCGCAACTGTCATACGCTAGTGCAAAAGATCTAAATCCGATACAGGGGGAAATCTATTGCTACGGTCAGGTAGAAGACATCATGGAGATTTTCTATGGGATTAATAAGGAAGTCAGTCATGTGATGTTTAAGGTTCGTTGGTGTGAACAGAAAAAGGCGAAGGATGACTACAGTTACACAATCGTTAATCTTAACAAGGAAATATACCAGTCTGAAAAATACATGTTAGCTGCTCACGCCAAACAGTGCTTTTATGTCAAAGATATAATGAAAAATGACAAATGGGTTATCCTTAAGAATCCGCCTAGAGCCTACATTCATGAAGTCATGTCTGACGAAGATCACGATGAGGAGGTTATCTTGGCAGACGAAATAACCGAGGAGTTTTCATTGACACAAAATAATAATCTGGACGATGAAATTGCATTAGCGCGCCCTGATGTACCTACGATTATATGTGAGCCAAGGCGTAAAGGGAAAAAACCTATCTGCAGCGGAGTCGATAAAACTATAAGAACAGTCCTTTCGTTGGCACGCACACGGTCGCAGGCTATCCGCACACGATCGCAGAGTAGAGCCTCAACATCATCTGTTTGACTGGTTATCATGTATCACGATGTGTCATGTATTATATTATTACCTTTATATTTTCAGAAAGTTGACTGGTTATCATGTGGGTGTGTATGTATTATATTATTACCTTTATATTATATGTTTGACTGGTTATCATGTATCACGGTGTGTCATGTATTACATTATTACCTTTGTATTATCTGTTTAACTAGACATCATGTACACGCGATTCTGTTGCCATGTGCTATTTTATTAATTATTTGCATTATATACTTTTGTTGGATATTCATTATGTTTTCAAAGTATAGATGACAAAAGGATTACGTAAGAAAGCGCTTGAGAGAATTTTTAGTAGACATTCTGGAGGCGACACACATGCCTCTACGTCAGGTATTTTTATTTATTTGTTATACTTTTACATTTCTATAAACTATTAACATGAGCCTAATATTTTTTAACATTTACTACACAGGAGGAGGAGATGCTACACATGACTCGCAGCCACAGGACACATCACGCGGAGATGTTCCACATGACGTGGAGACACAGCCTGATCCTACACAGCATGCAGAGATACCACCGCCACCGCATGCAGATGTATTGGAGGAGAGGAGATTTGAGCCGTATAGCGTAGCTTTAGAAGCTGCGGCACTACCGTCAGATTCTATTACGGATCAGCGAGTCCACAGTCCGGCCAAGGTGAGGGATGATTGGGATTCTTATCATGTTATGCGCCCCATCATGCAGCAAAGGTACGAACAAGCAAAGCGTAGATGCCTCGAACTGAAAGGTATGAATAAATTTTTATAGTTTATCAGTTATTATTTTAAAATTTTTTGCAAATATAGATTGATTCATTGTTTCATTCGATTCTTTATTTCGCAGGTACCGAGCGACCTCCTAGACGCGGCCGCAATGCTACTAAGGAATCGAACCTCATCCCTGATATTAATCGGAGGGTTGTGATCCGATGGGAAAACGGAGTGCCTGTTGGGGCCTTTGCCAATGCTTTCAACAATTTCCTTGCCGCTTTAGCCAGGAGGCACGATTTCTTCAACATATTTTTGACGTGGAAATCGCAGCGGATTGATGCGCTGGTGGCTTGTTGGAGATATATATGTGTGAGTCATTTATTTTAATTTTCATCATTATTAGTTATTAGTTTATTATTATGTTTAATACACTGATTTGTATCTACTTTTTCTTTATATGCTGAAGCGATTTTTCTTTCTTGACGATAATATTTGTGCCTGGACGTACTGCTTCGGGCAAATCAATGTATCGTTCAAGAGATGGCGGTTTGAGGTAAAGAAAAAATATTTTGTCCAAATAACAGAAGATTGGGAGCGATACTGGCATCTTGACACGCGTGTGGATGGAGTAGATTTTTTTGCACTTTGCAGTTACTGGGACACGGCTGAAATTCAGGTATTATTGAAGTATATATTTTTAATTTATTGTTTGAATTTCTATATTGTTTCGAATTGACATTGTTTTGCAGGCTCAATCTGAAATAGCAAGGAGGAATCACAACGCGCCTCGCAGTTACGAGCATCACGGGGGCTCCAGGACATTCAGCCAGCATTATCATCAATTAGAGCTTGAGGTATATAATATATTATCTTTTACGTTGAGTATAATTTATGTGTTATGGGTTAATGATATATTTGAATAAAATAGGGAAGGGGAGATCTCAGACATTTTGCAGATCGTATTCTGACTTCCTGGAGCCCGAATTACGCCAATGAAGAGAAGAAAGCAAAGAATAAGGATCTGGCTGTAAGTAGCAGTTCATTTATATATTCAATTTCATATCAATGCATCATTATTAAGTCGACTTGCCCGGGTTGTTTTGATATATCGCAGGAGAAATTACATGCCAAGGTACAGGAGCAATTGACTCAGTCTCAGGTCTGTTCTAACACTCCAGCCCGGCTAAGTAGGGAGGATGAGGACTCCATCATCGAGACGGTCATTGGACCTAGTAGGAAGAACAGATATCGGTGGAGAGGATCCGATCATAGGCCGCACGAGTCTAGTAGCACCTACGAGTCTGCAGCACCACAAGGAACACCAGGAAGCAGTTCATATCAAGACTCGATGGAGCAACGATTAAAAGCGATTGAAGATTGGCAGTCGCAGCAAACAACATATCAGCGGGCTCTAGAGGAAGAACGGAGGCGCTGGGAGCAGACCGTATTGGAGTTTACACAATTCATGTCGACTCTGCCTCAGGAGGCATAGGAGACGGTTTTTGTCGTCACAGGTAATATATATACTTTGCTTTTTTTTAATTAGATGTTATCGTCACAGGAAATATTAGCGACGGTTTTTCCGTCGCTATTGGTTTTTTTAATTTTTAATTTTTTAAAAATAGCGACTATTTTAACGTCGCTAATAAACCGTCGCTAAAATTTAGTGACGGAATGTCCGTCGCTAAAAGTATTTTTAGGCACCCCTGTTATAGCGTCGAAATTTTAGCGACGGAAATTTATTTTTTCCGTCGCTAAAACTTTTAGCGACGGAAAAACGACTTATAGCGACGGATTTGTCCGTCGCTAAAAGATGAAAATCCAGCAGTGATATCATCAACGACCTCCACTGATAATGCATATGCGACCATGACATCTTTATACCTAGCTGGCCGACGAATCACCCTTCTAGGTCTATTAGCTGCAATAGACTCCTGTACATGACCCTGCTCCTGAGTCTCACAATACATTGTATCCTCTATCTGCCCGGCTGTCATTCCATCTCCTCCACGCGTGCGTTCACACTACTAAATATATTGTTCTCTCATAGATGATGACCAATGGATCGATGGTGCAAAATCCTAAGATATGATGGTATTCATGTTTTCTAGTTTGCTCGATTAGACCGAACCAGTAATCATGGATGCGGTAAAATCTTCTAGAGTTTTAGAAACTTCTTATTTATTTTATTTGTCTTCCTTTGACTCATGCCGTATAAGGGAAAGAAGAATGCTTTTCACGTGGATTGTATATTTTGGAAGAAAGTAGCTTTCCTTTCCTCATTGTGAACCAAACTAATTTGCTATGGCCAATGAAGGCACTACTTCAACTTATTAAAACTAATTTGCTATGTTACGAAAAAAACACAGGCTGAACCTTTTACCCCATTAGAGTTGGACGTTAATGTGGATTATTTTTCTTCCATCTTAATTTTTCTACGTGAAATTAATTGTTTGCGTCGGAATTGAAAAGGACTAGGGAAATAGTTCCAATGAATCCTCTAGTTGACTCGATACACGGATTGGGGAGAGCATGGAATATAAGTCTGTACTCAATAAAAAATATATATATCGCAGGGAGAACGCAGGTGATAAACTATGTCGGTGCACCAATTTCCATATAGGGTCCGTTCGTTTCGAAAAAAAACTTGGAAATTAAAGAATAGGAAACCTATTTCCTATAATAATTATTTTAAGGTTGTTTGGTTGGGTTAAAAAAGAAGAAAATTATAGAAGATGAGATGAGATGAGATGAGTTGTCACCTTATTATTAGATGATGTGAGTGATTTTAAAAAAAAACTTGTTTTGAGGTTGTTTGGTTGGTTAAAAAAATAAGGAAATGAATTGGAGGTATATTATTGGATGATATTTTGAGGTTGTTTGTGTTTGGTTCATTTCTAAAAGAAAAATTCCTCAAGGACCCAAAATATGGGACCAATAGAGGGGACAAGTGAGATGTCCCCCTCCTATTGGATAATGAGTTGGCCATCATTAATGATGGCCAACTCATTATCCAATAAGAAGGGGACACCTCACTTGTCCCTTTTATTGGTCCCATATTTTGGGTCCCCGTAGCAAAGCTCTTTTTAAAAATAAGAAAATAGATGAGATGATATGAGTTGGAGGTATATTATTGGATGATGTGACACATACTTAAGGAAATCAATTTCTTGCTTTTTTTAGGAAATGGATGGAAAGAAAGGTTTAATGAGATGAGATGAGTTGTCACAATATTATTGGATGATATGTGTGATTTTTAAAAATGGGATAAGATGAGATGTGATGAGTTGGATGATGTGACACATTTCTTATGTTTGGTTTATTTTTAAAAGTAAGAAAGAAGATGAAATGAGATGAGTTGGAGGATAAAAGTAATATTTTATTGGATGTTGTGAGTGAGTTTTAGGGATGGAAATGGATAAAAATATTATTTTATTGATTTCCTTGTACCGATTTCCTTTTTTGGGTTTTTAGGAAACCAACCAAACAGCCCCATTAATATTATCTGGATTGACTTGGTAAGGCACTTTGATATGATTTTTCAACTGCTTGTACATTCTACAAATTTCTTGTAGTTATTAATAATTTAAAAAAAATTGACTGGTTGGTCTCCATGTGATCGATGTGTTCCCCCTCGACTAGAGATGATGAGGGCATGGAGATGGGCAAAATGACACGTGTGGCTAAAAGTAAATTAAAAAGAGAAACCGTATACAGCTCTTAACTCAATGACTCATGTGCACGCAACCGAAAGCATGTCCCCGATAGAGCATCAGTGCCAAACAGGGAGCCTGAAAGCTCATCCAAACCATGTCATTGGGTTTTCAGTAATTTTAACGACTATTTCACTAGCTTCAAAGACACAGAAATTGGCAGCTTGAAAGCCCATCACAAAGCCTTTCTTTTTTTCTTTTTTTTTCCCATCTCCCCATCATAATTCAACTTACTGTTATGAAAATACAACTCTCACATCTCAGGTAATGACACAAAGGGCTCAAATAGACGGGATAAAATCGATAAACATCGGCTTAGCATGATGCACCTGATAAGGCAACTATATGACCAGGGAAAAAAATGATACAATTTACCCAACAAAAAGAGAAATAAAAGAGACCACTATAAAGCCATTTGACATGAAAAAACCAAATAAGATGTTCAGCAATGAATATCCATATTTCCTGATTGAGAATTATAGGAAAACAATGGAGAGAATTCAACTATGAATCATCCATGTCTGCAGCTGAAGTTGTATTCCTTGCTCAAACTTTCTATGCTTCACATCCTCTCTCCTTCCCTAAGCAGCTCAAACCAAACAGACCCAAGAACACCAAGACCACTGCTCTCATCTCCTTCCCTCCCCGTTTCTCTCTCTAACTTTAGCTTGTCTGAAATAGAAAATATCAGAACATGGGTTCAAATTGGTGCAAGGCTTATTTCCATTGAGTGGTGTTAGGGGCACACCCTCTACCACACCACCAACCACACCCCCCCTCTCCCATCGCTACAGTAAACCGGACCCCACATGGGATTTTAAAATTTTTAAAATCCCATGTGGGGCCCGGTTTACTGTAGCGATAGGAGAGGGGGTGTGGTTGGTGGTGTGTTAGGGGGTGTGCCCCTAACATTATTTATTTCAATTTATTGAAATTTCTTCTTCCATTTCTGTCAGAATCTATTCCTTGTTAGGACCATGGTATTAACAATTTCTCTGTTTTTTTCATTTTTAACCAGCCAAATTGTGTGTTATAATTTTTACTTTCAAATTGTTCAAATTAAGGGGTTTTCTTATATTGGTCCCCAGAATCTAATAATATGTCTTATAAATCTCATATATTATAGATAGTCCTCCAATTCCCTTTTTTGCCCTCCCGCGTTGTTAACCCAAATTTCAAGGGAACATTGCTATTTGGCTCGCGGTCCAACCGCGAGCCAAAAAACTTTTTCGATTTCAAGGACTTGTTGGCAGCTCATCCATTTTCTTAGATATGAACGCTAATTTAAATAATAATTTAAATTGTGTTTGCCAAAAACTTGTACAAGATTAGACTATTTTTTAAAAAATTTAGTTCAAAAAAGGTCATTATCTAGATTTTCTTGGGACCACCCTTACCTTAGATTGATCATAAACTGGATTAGTGTGGAGTTGTTGAACACACCCAAGTTAACTAAATTATGTTATTCTTATCTTTTTTCCCCTTTTGGAACTGAGATGCAAGCTTAGAGGGGGTGAATATGGTTGCTACAGCTTTTCAACAAGACTCAGAAAATGTAGCGGAAATATAATTAGCGAAAAACAAAAAGTAAACCAACATAGGAACACAAACGCTTTTTATGGTGGTTTGGATCAAAAACCTACGTTCACTCTTTATTCTCGCGAAAGGTCTTTTTCACTATGATCAGAGCTCACCTGAATCACAATTTGATTCAGTATGTTTCAAAGACCGTACTATGGAATCTACCCGAAACTGTCTAACCTAACTCATCACGATGACTAGAAGAAACCTAGCCCTAACTAGCCACACTCAATTACCCCGAGTTGAGTACGCCGTCAAACGCACAAGTTTGAAATATAACCAACCAAACAATTAAAGCGCAAAAAGGATGATCTTACAGTCCTTTATCAAACCATTTTTTAAATTGAAGAAGATGAAGATTCGTGAAAAAGCGGTGTAGCAATG